GGTGTCAGTTTAATTAATATTTAAACATGGAAATACAGTGGTCTGGAAGTGGGTAATGAAGGATCTTTTGTGTCCATTTCCATACCAGTTCAGTAGTGCATGAAAGCTGCAGTTAAACAGCAGCTTCATCCAAGAATGTGAATTGAAGTTGTCATTTTAGCATTTGGTGGGCAGTTGTCCACGTCATAAATATCTAGCATTTTTGCTGTTGAACTGAACGTAGAAATGGTGCCTTGAATCCTGAGACTATTCTGGCCTCCTGGCTGCTGACCTCAAATTTTTCATAAAATATTAAACTACATGAAGATGGCTTATCTTGTTAAAACAGTGCTGCTGTTTCCAATCACATTCCCATAATGTGTAGACTTGCAGAGGACTTCCAATGCCTTTTATCACCATTAAATCCATTTACAAGATCTGAAATAAGTAACATTCTGCAAGGAATTATTCCAATACTATTCATTCAATTCATATCCCCATATTTCTTGAAGGTTTTATAGCAGGGAAAATTGTAAGAGGGCTTCTTAAAATGTGAAGTTGTATGCAAAGAATAACAGGTCTCATCTTTAAAGGAACCAAAGACTTTAATACAAAATTCATTTGCTGTCCTTAAGCCAAGTTTGGTACTTGGTAGGCAACATTGTGTTTTAATAGTAGTATTTGGTTTGGCTTTCTCTTCCATTTGAGGTAACTCTGTGTTGCTTGTTTTGGTGGGATGAGAATCAACCAAACGGCAATGTCAGCACTGGATGGTTTTATCCTCATGTTGTCAACCAGTTCAGAAGTGACACATTCATTTTTCCCCATGATAGCTTCACTGGATTGTTGTGTGTTCCTGACAGAGGCCATTCAGAAGGGTGTCCAATCCCCAAGTGCTGAGCATCTTAACACTAACTCAATTACTGCTGATAGAGCAGGAAAGTCTGTATTTACTGCCTACAACTCTTGCCGCACATCACCAACTCTACCCATGTGTGGGTAGAGAATCAAATGAGCCCATTTTGATTGCTTTTCAGGCTGGTGCGTATCCAACAGGGTCAGAGCCTCATTAACAAGAAGAACATGCAGCCACGGACCAAAGAGATTCAGAGGGTGTAACTAATTGATGCGTGGGGATTGTAGGTCATATCTTCATGAGGCACATGGCGATGACAGAGAATGATTTAATTCAAAACAATCGGCGTGCTTCATCCGCGAGCTGCCACAGTGCCCCACTAACCTAGGCGTCGTAATAACCTCTGCTTTGGGTATCAATAGAGGACGCTGCCCTTTGGGACCCCGCGGGAAGGAGGAGTGCTGTCAGCTGGCAGAGGAGTGCGCAGGGCAGTGGGGCTTCTTGCTGCTGCGGGAAAGTAGGTCATGGCCAAAAGTAGCCTTGGCTGCCTTGTAGGAGTGTGCCTGCGAGAGAGGAGTCAGCTGAGAAAAGAGCTTGCACGGTTTTGGGGGCTGTTTTTTTAGCCCTTCCTCACTGTGAAGCAGCTGGCGCTACGTGCTGTGAAATGCGTCTGCTTTCCAGTATTCTTGCATAAAATATTTTTAGAAGTGAATATGCAGCTCTTGTTTCTGCTTAGGGGAAGCGATGCGTGCTTGTGGCCTTTCGCTTTCATCAAGAAGTTAGAATTTTAATTAGATCAATATTTTTAATAAACATTGATATTTTTTTTTTTCCTTGCTTTCTTCACTGGAGATTGGCTGCAACTGGATGGTAGGTGTGTGTCAGGGAAACTCCGGTTGGAAATAATTTTGAACTTGAGCTGTGTATGAAATATTTGAGCTCTGTTGTGGTTTATTAGTAATAAGAAATATATGAAAACAAGTACTTTAATTCATTTTAGGACTCACTCAGTCCTGCTGTCTCTTCCCGTGAAGACTGGCACCTGTTTGGCATAATGGTCATTTCCATGACAACAAACTGTGTGATGGTGTTTGGAAAGCTTTGACTTTTGATGGAGAATAAATAAAAGCAGATTCACCCACATGCAAGATAACCCTGTTTTCATGTGAAAGGAAGAACTTGAGAAGGAAAAAAAAAAAAAGATACAAGTTTTCTATATCATGTTCTTTCATGGTTTCCTGTGTACCATGTATGTCTCTTTAAATGGGAGCTGGTGGAAGTCCTGGCGTGCAGGCTGGACTGCCTCCTCTGTGGCTGCTCTGTGTGCAGTGGTCGATGCTGCAGCCTGGTCGTGGGCACTGAGCTGCCTCTGTAGGCCATGGCAATCCTTTGGAGTAGATCATCGTCTGGTTTTGCTGTTCTGGCGCTCCGGAGATTTCCTTTGACAAAACACTAAATCCCCTCCTTGTCTTTCCATGCATTGAGACACGTTAATCAACTTCTCAAAGATGCTGCCCTAGTTGTGTTTCCCCCACCCGTTTTCTCACGTACAACTCTCGGTCGGTTTCCATCCCATTTCATAAATACATTGCGCAAACAGCATCCTTTATCAGGAAGTTCCCCCCGTGATCCGGCACGGGAGTGCTCGGGGTCGAAGCTGTCGCCAGCTGAGCTGCCGCACAGAGCAGCTCCAAAGGGCGTGAGCTGACCTGCCAAGTTCACTTCAGCCCAACCTTGATAGGAGGCCAGTCTGCGGCAATAAAAGTTTATAATGTTCATACAGCACTTCAGTACAGAGTTCTCATCCTGGAAGAACACTCCAGGCAGTACACATGTTTCAACTCCTATATGAAAATCACTATTTCTTAATTTGCTGTTGACATATAAGGCTGTATGAGTGCTGGTCTCAGTGGGGAGCAGATGCCAGCGTGAGCAGCTGATGCACCATGAGTAACTGATGCTGAAAACTAACCTTTTTCCATGTTATGGAAAGATGTGACCTGAAATACCATACTATTTCCCTGGGTGTGGAGTAAGAGTCTGAGGACTTGGCAGCACTTCTAACGATACATCATACGATGACAGATGAAACAGTGCACTGAAGCTTTTGCTACCTTTAAAGTCTGTATAGCAGTTTAGTCTGTCTTTTCCACTAAATTTCTGTCAAGGTATAAATCTAAATCTCATGCTAAACTGTTTCTTAGGAACTGTTTCCATTTTTGTTTAAAGATGATCTGCTCATATGTTTTGAGGATAGCTCAAGCCTGCCAGGAAGATAATTTAAACGCCTTTCTTCAAATTATCTGTGTTTCCAGTGGTCAAATTTCTAAAGAAGCTTTTTCTGGAACATGATTTTTGGGCTGTGGCACAACATGTGCACAGATGGATGCTGCTTTGTGTTAATAAGTTGTTTAGGTTGAACAGATCTGTCCAGGATCATATGTTCATTTTGGCAACTCTGCTGTTCCCCTACTACTTCTTTGACAATTTTGTTCCAGTAAGAAGATAAATAAATGAATAAAGCTCTGAATTAATTTAGTCATTTCAGAAGCTGCCTTTGCCTTTGATGTCTTTCTTTGTACCCAAGCAGTGTGCAGATGTTGGGGTTTGGGGTTGGTTTTTTTTTTTGAGAATCCACTTAAGGAAAAACAGCGGCACTGGTCTTTTGTTGCCTAACTAAATATAACCTAACCTGGACTCTTTCTTCCCTTCCCTATTTTATTCCTGCTAGCCCTCATTGCTCTTCTTGCTGATAAATTGGAGAGATGGTTACCTTTCTGGCAGCAAATGAGCCTGCCAGTTGGCTGAAAACAATTTGAGAAATGCCTTCTTATCAACGAATGAGTCCAGCTGTCATAACATGTACTCTCCCAACCAAGAATATGAATTTTGATTAGGCAGGAAAAGCCCACTGACTTAGTTTCAGATGATTTTGTAATCGCTCTTTGACATAATGATTGAACTAGCAGCGTCGGCACCGTGGCTGGCAGATCTCCACTCATAGCTGCTTATAAAGATCTGTCTGGGTTATAAAAACCTCCCTAATCTGTTCAGGTGTGTGTTTCGAGACAAGAACCGATTGTTTCTTTTAAAAGGCCTGTGCTGTGTGTGCTTTTAAAGATCAATTTGGCAGTGGACCTGTCTCTGACAGCTGATACAATCGAGGGGTTTGTTGGTTTATGTAGGGCTGAGGTCCTGGCTCAGCCTCGCAGCTGGCTGGGCCGGCCGTTGTCTCCCAGTGCGGTGGTCCCGGTCACAGTGTGTCCCGACAGTCCCACGCTGACCCTCTGAAATGCCTGGCGGAGACAGGCCTGCCCTGGCATGTTACCGAAGGCTCACTGGTTTTGGGGGGTGCTTGCAGCTTTGGCGTCTCAGGGAATTTGGCAGCCCGGTGGCCCTGCCCTCCCCCTGTCAGCAGGCCCCTCCGGAGAGAGGGCAGCAGACAGTGCCGTAGGCATTCTTCTGAGGAAGCGTGGGAGAACAGGAGCTATATTCACTTGCGAAGGCCTCTCTGAAGGTGGAGAACATTACTCCAGCCTTGGCTGCCATCTCGGCTCCCCCTTCGTGGAGTTGCTGCCTGGGGATTCAGTGGCCAAAGGTCCCTCCTTGGAGTCCCTTCGTGACCCCAGGCGCCTCGCTGGAGAATTTGAGCCTCCGTTTCTCTTCGTTATTGCTGGTTATCATGTGGGCTCTGCTATGCGTTTCCTGAAGTAAAAGAAAAATTGCAGTTATTTCAGAAAAGGTAGCGAGCTTGATTGCCAGAATGGTTTGCTGGTTGGGGACTTTGATCAGAGGTCCCTTTGGAATTGTCACTTCTGATCAGCAGCAGTGGTCCTTGCCTCAGCTTTTCATGCAAACCCCCTTTTCAGTTTGTGCTAAGGCAGAATTGCGCAACGTCTCAAGCCTATTCGCTCTTGGTAGCACTGTACTGTGTCAAACTCCAACACTGGAAATAAACTGTATCCCAGTTCTCAGGCTCGGTGAGCCTTGTTTTTGTGGGCTGTCTGTGACTTAAATTCCCAGGGTTCTGATGATTCAGACAACTAGCAATGTATTATTAATAAATTATGTGCTATTAAAATCCTAACAATGATGTTACAGTTTCCATTTATTTCCATGGTTAGATTCTGTTGTGATTAATTTTTTAATGCTTAATTTTCTTTAGAAACTAGATGCCAAATCACTTATAAAGCTGAATTTTGCTAAAAACAGTGAAGGTAAGTGCAGTAATTTTCTGTGTGGTTTTTTTTTTTTCTTGAATGCTTTAATAAATCCTGGTTTGTCTTACTCATGCTAAAGTTACGTAGTTTGTGTTTTCTATCATGGTTTTTACTTTCTGAGTAGAATAACTGCTTCTTGTGAGTGACATGTTTGCCTTTAAAGTTCCGTTTCTGTTTTTCTTTACACTGGGGAGCTGTAAATTATTCACCCATTTCACTTTACTGTAGCTACTACTGCAGTAAGGTGCTACTTACTTTAGGAAAAATTTTCAGAAAAGGCTAAACTTCTGTAGTATGTTACCTTTTTTCTAACTTGCCTATGACATTATTTGCTATTCACTTGGTTTTGAGCAACTTCTTGTTTATAAAATGAATTAGACTTAAATGAACACATGGGATTTTATGAATAGCAGCACACAAGAAAGCAGCCTTGAGTTTTATTTCTGCAGGGTTAAAGGCATAAAATCTGCCATCTAAGAGAGGATGCTAGGAATAAAAGAGAAGAGTGGAGATGAATTCATCTTTTACAAGGCAGATAATGATTTCTTTGAAACAAGAGTGGCAAGCATTAGGTGGGAATGAAATTCTGGAGTGTCTGTCTTACTATCTTACCAATAGTCCATAGACTACAAGGTCTTTTCTCTAGCTGATGGATTTCTTCTCCGTTTTGTGTTCCATCTGTCTCAAGAGCAGGGTGTTAAAAAATGGTCAATAGTCCCTGGGGCCAAGGTTTATGAAAGATATTGCGATATTGTGCTTTCCTTAGAGAAGGCCAGTTCATAGTGCTGGGGTGGAATGACAGCAGCCACGCAGTCTCACAAGCCTTTTTCTTAAAAAGGTGCATGCTGTGTCATCAACTGATCAAAGGAAAATGCAACAAAAGACAAAGAGTAAAATGTTGCATTTCTGTCTATCAGCAAACTTTTCTTTAAATCTTAACGTGTAGAATGGTTGATATATATGTGGGATCTTCTCTGTTCACACCTGTTCAGTAAAAAAGGTCATTGGATACTGCAGTTTTTTCCATTTAATGATCCCTCCTCAGCTGAGCACCTTCTATCTAGACCAACAAGCGCGTGCCCTCAGCAGCTCTGCTTTTGCTGGAAGTGAAAATGTGGTGATTTGCTCTCTTTGAAGCAGCTGAGCGAAGCCTCACGTTTTACCAGTGTGTTTCTGTGTCCATCAGTTGGGCCATACCCTGATGCCACTTCTAGAAATCCCTTTCTGAGCCTTTTCCTGAATTTCAGACCCTTGTGGGAATGGCTTCCCTTCAGCACTGGGGGCATGAACAGAACCAGTCCTTGGCTTTTCCTTGCAGCTGCGTGCTGGGGGTCCGAGTGCCTCCGCTGCCTGATCTGTTATCGGTAAATGCGCTGTGGGTGCTCGCCTCTCCTGTCTTTGCAGGTGCTGTGAGCAATCTCTGTCCTGGTCTCCCTGCTGGTTTTGCTTGTCAGATGGTAATTAGGAAAAAAAGAACCAAATAGGCCCAACCTGCTTCAAAAATCTCACCCAGACCCCCAGCTCTAGCAAACTGATCAAGTATTAATAACCTTCTTTTAATTGCTTTCTGCTGAGATCATCCATATATTTTTCTTTTTCCTTGTACATTGCCTTCCATCAGTTTGCTTGTTGTTGACATGCTTAATATTTATACTGACCCTCCTGGGAAAATTCACAGCTTGATTAGAGCAGAAGCTGGGTTCCTTATTGAATAACGTGTTCAAATTTAATGGCATTCTGCTTTCCACATTTGAATACAAAATGCTCTCCTCTCCTAAAAGCACAACAGCTGCTGTAAACTTTTTTGTTGGTTATAATCTAAACTTTTATTCCTGAGAACAACACTGCAAATAGAGCACTGGGCACCTTGCAAGGTACAGACTCATGCTATCAATAGAGCTTTGATTACAACAGTAACAATTATATTGTGGTACTTCATCGATATGAAGCAAGTTGGACAAAGTTCTGTGTTGGGGGATTGAAGGCAATAGATTTCAAACCTGCATTTTCATTGCTTGCTTTATAATTCTCTTCAGTGTTACTTTTTCTATTTGGCACTGAAGAATCAAAGCATAGTTAAAACACCATTAAATACCCACTAAAGTTGCACTTTATATTAAAAATTAATGTAAATATCCTTCAAAGAGATAATAGAAACTATCTATTTCAAAACAGTTGCAGGGACTTCATGCCAAATTTAAACTTTTTTCTCCTCTGTCAGGTAAATACCACTGTCCAGTGCTGTTTACTGTATTCACCAATAATTCCCATATTGTGGCCATCAAGACAACTGGAAATGTGTTTGCCTATGAGGTAGGTTCTCTGTTGCATTTCATTATTAATATTTTATACTTGATGTATTTCATTCAAGATCACAAAATGCTTTAGAAGGAGGTATGTTTTATTCTTGTTCTTGTTCTGCAGCCCAGGAAAGTTAAACTACAAGGAGATGAACTGACTTCACAAATTGCTGTCCAATTTTTGCCTTCAAAAATAGGAACAACCCTAGAATGTGATTTAAAAGATATTTTTAAAACCTTTTCCTAAGTTAATCTGTGGGCACTGAATCTCGTAGACCAAAATGAGTAGCATTTACATGCTCCTCAGCTGAATTAATAGATAAATCTTCTATTGTCATCTTTCTGATAGAGTCATCATCAAAACACAAATTATCTCATTTCTATTCATATCAATAAATAAAAAAAGAGTATTTTAACTGGAGCTGGGGAAAGAGCAGAGAGAATGCCTTAATGGACACTTGAACTGCATTTTTTATTTGTGTTTTGTGAGTGTTTGTGTGAACCCAGGTGGAATTTGTTATTAAAATAAACCGTATTTTCTGTTCCTTATAGAAGCATGATACTTTGATTGCTGTGGTTAAAAGACAAGAATGAGTTTAAGAGTAGTCTTTCTTAAATGCTTGTTGATATTGTAAAACTATTGCTCGGCTTGCTGCAATTTATAATATCAGGCTTCCTAAACAAGCTGTGCCAACAGGGTCTGTTTCTCGTATGGTATACCGCTTGGAGCAATAGCTTTTATTGGTTTGTTAAAAGCACAGAATTAATTTATGGACTTCTGGAGGTACTAGAAAAATACTATCACTTTCATCTGAGGAGAATAGAGGACATTTGGGTGAATAAGACATATTCAGTTTCTTTGCAGGTAGACCTCCATAGTCATCTCTCTGTGTGATGTAATTGTTCGTAACAACAAAGCATTTTATTCCACATTGATTCTCGCTTTGAAATAACATGCTGCTGCTTTATTGAACATCATTTAATTTTCTCAGGAACGGAAGTGTTGCTGCAGGCTAGGTGCAGCATTTGGGGTGGACAGAGTGTGGGGGGCTAATGCAACTCTGCTGTTGGGCGAGCTGGCCTGGGACAGGCACATCCCCCCAAGGGATGCAGATGGTGGGGGAGATATGAACACCTTGTTAAAGCTGCCTGTCTCATACCATCTGTAAAATATTTCACTTAGAAAACTGCAAGCAAGATTATTTTCTATTTTGGCAATATTTTTATGATGAATTTAGTTAAAATTGTATGCATAACTATGGAATGGAGACTGCAAGGTTCTTTTTTAAAAAAAGGAAAAACAAACCACACAAAACTGTGAAGTTTTGTAGGGATGAAAGACAAAAGCTTCTTGTCTGTTAAAGCACACGATGAAAATACTGCAGCTGCCAGTTGAGAATGAAGGGTGAAATTATTTTCTTTATCATTTGCACTTTAAGGCTTTATTGGTATCACATATTTACTGGTAATATTTATACATTAGAATCCAATTTTTAATATCTGTGCCTTTTGCCTGGCTGTTAGGCAGTTGAGCAGCTGAACATAAAACCAAAGAGCTACAAGGATCTTTTGACAGATGAGCCCTTCACTCGGCAAGACATTGTGACACTGCAGGTAAACTTTTCTCTCTGTTACATGTCTTATAACACAGCTTTTTTTGCAGAGGATGAAATGTTGCTACGTACACTATTATAGCAGGAATCTAGAATAATTGGACAGAGAAACATTGTTCGTCTGTGTGTGTTGAAGATGGGTAGAAGCAGAACTGCTGTATTTTCTTTGTTACCCAGATGAGCCACAAGGATGCCATATAACTTAGTTTGACACATCTGTAGAGTTATTATTGAGTGCCTTGTAGATAATCAGGTTATTCAACCTTGTAAATTGAAGGAGGAAAAAAAAAAAGGTGCACAGAAAAAGTCAGGGATGCCATGTAAAAATGTGGATTTTGACAAATGTATTTGCAGTTGCTCACTATTTCACTGTATCTGACTGAATATAAGATCTTGTGCATAATCGTAACTTTTAGATATGAAACTACACATAAGACTTTGCTGTTGGGTTTTTTGTTTTGGGTTTTTTTTCTATTAATCTTACCTGAAAAATTGCTGCAACACCTCTAATTTAATGTGAAACTTAACGGAAGTGCATTGGAAAAAGACTGGGTAGAGGAAAGGGAAAGATATGTCCAGAATCATCTTCAGCTCCAGGCAGCCAACAGTACGCGGTCTGTTTTCAAAAGAAATGTGTTTTAGAATGTAAAGGATATAAGCTTTTAGGAAGTTGACATGTTACATTAAGACTGAAGTTGATTGTCCATCTTACTCTTTTGAAGGTACCTAAAAGAGTCAAAGCTTTGGGAACTCATTTTTCATACAGTGTTTCTCTAAATGTAGAGTAAAATAAGCAGCAAACCAGGGGATTTTTCTTCAAGTGCTTGCTTAGAATTATTTTCTTCTGAATAGATTCCAATGTTGGTCTTTTACAGATTTTTACATAATTAAAACCTATGTTAAAGCAGCATTGTAAATTTCAGTGTAAAAGATACTTATTTACAGGTGAAGTTTAGTATCAAAAGATCTAAAACTTTTTTTTAAAAGTAGGCATTTTTAAGCTTGCGTGATTTCAAAATAGGGGAAAAAAGATTCAAGGATCATTATGATTGGAGTCATGAGTTTAGTATGCATCTCATGAACAGTTAATTGCCACTAACCAAGACTAATACTGTCTAATTTGAATAGAAAAATATTTTTCATTTATGTCTAAATTTAAATGAAATGTATCCCTTCTTCCCAACTCCCCAGTCCTGAAGAGCATGTTTATAAATATTTTTCCTCTATTCCTTTGGGCTTATGGCTGTTCAAGCTAATGTTACAAAGTAAAATGTTTTTAATCCAATGTAAGCAAAAAACATAGCTTTTTTAGAGTGAAAGCTCCCAGCAGAATGTTATTTGAATGTAACTGCATGGTTGCTAATGGATTTGGAACGGTGAAAAAAGACAACATGAGTGACTAAAAATGTTTCTGTGCGTCAGTATGGAAAAACTAATTATTTTTAACAAATAATTGAAATGTGCAATCATTTAAAAATATTTTGCTATGTTTTGTAGGTTTAGAATTGAACGTATGTATAAAGAGTGTATTCCGGTTGCATGCCTAGCTTTGATTTTTCATAAAAACAAACAGATGCCAGAGTTCCCTAAATCTCAAAATGCAAGAGATAGCAATTTAGATGTTCCCTGTGTGGGTTTTCATCAATAATTTTCACCTTCACTTTGTTCCTGACATAATTGGTTTCTATCTTGCTTGGAGGAATTTGTTCGTTAACAGAAGTAGGTGGTGGTAGTTGTCCAGTCAGTGGTACAGCCGTCCTGCCAGCTACGTGGAGGTCACAGCCATACGCGGCCTGTACCTCGCTCAGGTCGTTTAGGATGACGTTCATAATGCGTGAGCAGATTTGCTCTTCTTAAGTAAACAACTCATTATGGATTGGTGTTAACTGAACTTCTGTAGCGTATGATCTTGTGGTATATTCTTCTCAAATAAGTTTGGAAATAGCAAAGCCACCCCCATCTTGGGATTGCACGGGAAGAGACTTTGTCTGAATGCTGTTAGGCTCATGTTTGGCCATTCACCAAATTAGTTTATAAATTTTTTTTTTTTTTTTAAAAATGATTTTCAACCAACAGGCTAAAATGGCTTCGGGGTGTTGAATGAGAGGTACGAGCCATTCGATGCGCTGCGTCACACCCACAGCAAACTTGTGGGTATACCTTGATTTCTCCCGTTCAGAGGCTGCCCTACTCTGACCTACTCTGTTGAGGCCAGAATGCAACCTAAAGTGGTATGGCTAGCCTGGCTATTAAAATTACCTATGTATATGTGGTATAGGGAGCTGTTGTTATTTTCTTATGGTATTTTCTTCATGTAAATTGTTGAAGGACAGACCAGTGTCTCCTCCACAAGCTCTCTTGTTGACAGCACTGCAGGCAGCGTGGTGGCTTCACACTGCCAAGCTCTGCCACCTGTGGCTTTGTTTCTTAGCCAGCGTTCATGACTGCAATCTGTTGTGTTTCAGTTTGTGCCCCTAGAGCTCTATCCCAAATCCCACTTCTCTTAAAAACCTTTCAATTCTGTGTTGAAATTTGTCACTTTGTTGTTTTCCCATTCCCCCGTGTAAATTGAGTACTGTGGTATCTGAGAGAGCTGGAATCGAGAGTGAGTTGGTAACACTGACCCTGCTGTTTGGCAAAAAGGTAGATATAAAGGAAGTTGCTATAAAAAACATTCTTTGCTTTGCAAATAACAGCTGAATAGGACTGTCTGTAATAGCTGTGTTTATCAATAGAAAATAGCATTTCCAGAGTCTGACTGTGAGTGTCCTAGGAAGCAGATGGGGTACCTGTGTGTTTGGTAGTGAAATACAACATGATAAATGGAAAATTTGAATAATGTATGGTTACAGATTATTTGTATGTTCACATTTTTTCCTTATTGACACATGAAGGGCAATCCTACAGCTGCTAGGGATGTTCTTTTACCAGAATAGCAATTGACCTCAAATTTGACCTCTCTCTCCTAAATGTATATAATTAAAAACAAAATCAAAAAAATTTGCTCTTTCCAGAAGAGAGAGAAATGCATAAAATTCTTTATTCTGTTCTCAGTGCTAAATATTATTCAAACACTAATCATAATCCATCCCTGTTATCTTTTCTGGTGGGCACCATCTCAGCTGGTCGCTTTGATTTTAGTGACAGTTATTTGTGTCCTATTGCTATTAAGCTTACTTGTTAAAAAGGACAAATTATTTTGGATCTGGAACTAAAGAAAAGCAAAATCACAACACTGTCTTAGATCTATGATGTGCTGCTCTTTGTAAAGGCATCCACAGTGTTTCCTGCACTTACACATACAGAAATTGCTTTTTTCCCCTGTTGAAATGCAAATGTCCTGGGGTAGAGCATGGCAGTTTTTCGTCAACATATGGCGATATTATCCAGCCCCTCAGGGCAGGAGGTAAAGACTAATGCCATATCCTGGTGTGTAAGATACATTACCAAACTGGAATGTAGTTATTCAGGCAAAAGATGTCATGGATTTTGGCTTAGTGTCTTGGTGATAAAGACAGAAAGGCACATGACAATATTCCATATGAAACCCTACCTAGACATCATCAGTCGTAGTATGACTGGATTTTTTAGACTGTAGCTCTTTACCCCAAAGTTGAAATTTCCTTTTCTTATCTGTGTGATCCTGCCACAAACTTGAGTCAAGCTTTCCATCTTCTACAGTACAGGTGTTACTTTTTTCCCAGTTTCTCTCTCCGTACAGTTTATCATTATTTCAGATCATTTTTCTCTCAACTGTACTGGTTCGTATCTCATCTAAATGGAATATTGCCGTTGTATTTTGTCTGTGTTTCTCATAACTCTAAACCCACTTGTATTCTTTTATCTCAAAGTTGATCAGCTCAGCCTCACTTAGCATCCCTTGCAAATGTCGTGAAAGTGCTACCAGCTGACAGACAGCTCAAGTACTTCAAGATTTATTAGTTATACTTAAGGGATAAGGTATGATGTAAAGCACTTAGAGATCTGTGGGTACAGGGTTATCTGTAATAGCAAGGCTGGTATTGTTGAAGCTTGTTTGCAGTGTTTTTCCCTCCCTTTTCTGCTTCCCATTCTGCTGTTCATCATTTCCTGTTGCAATTGTTTTGAGGGTAGAACGCAGGATAGCTTTGGAAGAGTTTTGTCATAATAAGATTGCATTAGACTGCCATTCAGAACGAGGTGATTCTTTCAGTCTTATGTTTTACGGGTTTTCAGCTGTTTTTTAATCTAAGTGTTTAACCTAATTTGAAGTTATCTTCCAAGGAAATATTTTTGAGGCTGTAATTTAGTGTTAGATCTCAAGGTCTGCTGTCCACCATTTAATCTTCGTGACAAAATCTGGTCAACAGTCTGGTAGAAATTATCATTAATTAGTGTTACTGTGAATTCTGTGTGTGTTTCAATCTTATGTTTTGCAAATTATTCTTTGTGTAATGATGTGGAACTGAATAGCAAGCACATAAATAAGTGTAATCTGGATTCCCTCATATCAGGGTGGGCAGGCTGAAGCAAGCGCCTGCTCCAGCTGAAGATGCAGAGAGAGGAATAGGGTCAGGCTGTGTCTTGCTGGGCATGGTGGTGGGCTCTGACAGTCCTCTGGACTTCTTCCCATCACAGCAAGCGTGAGGGGTGCTGAGGAGAGCAAAGTAAGAAGGCTGCAATTCCCTGCTTTCACATCCCACTGGGTAGAAAGTGTTTGGAGGAACTAAGAACAATTTCCCCTTTAGCCCCCTGTCAATTCTTCATCCTCCACTGTGTCTTCATGCACAAACCAGAAACCACGGCTCCCCCATTTGTGAAGATACAGCAGAAATTATTCCTGCTCTGGAAACCCCTAGCAGCGCTTGCTGGGCTGTGTGCGGGCAGGGGAGAGGAGCTGGTGAGAAGCATGGCTCTGCTCAGTGGCAGTGCCAGCAGGTGGAGCAGAGCAGAGGTGTCTGTTCCTTTTCGCCCCAAGAATTACAATAAACCCTGAAGCCTCTTGTGCCAGTGGTCGTAGGCACAGTCTCGCGATCGCAGCCCTTCTTGGTAGACACGCACTGACAAATGCATCTGCTTTCATCACAGAAACGGAGGGGGTGTCCTGGGAGAAATAAATAGACCAAAAAAAAGTCTAGGTAGAACGCAGACAGGTTTGCTGCCATTAAAGGGAAAAAAGGCTCATACTGTAATGTGCTTCCTTATGGCAGTTTTATTGTTTCTGTTCAACTAATCAGCCGTGGACAAGACATGGTTCCCGACAAGCTGTTAACACCACTGGCACTGGTGTCAGAAAGCATAACTAATGAGCGAAGTTGGAGGTAGCCAAGCTGCGCACTGTTAATTGATATTTTGCTCCTCGGCTATTTCTCGTTCGCTCTTTGCACGACAGAAGGTCAGAGCAGATTTCCTGCTGGCTGTGGGTGAGCGCTCTTTGAGGGGGAATCCTGCGCCTACGCGCTGCAGAGCGGCTGGTGGCGCAGTGGCATGCTGGGCAGTGGCCGGCGTGTGAAGGGATGCAGCACAGCCGACCAAACGGTACGAGAGGACTCCAGCCTCAGAGAAATCACACCGTCTAACACTGCACTGTTTTTAACCTGCTCCTTGGGGGGTTGTGTGCATGGTGCTTAGGATTAATGGAGGTTAACCTGTTTCCCTAAGTAGCTGAAATAACAAAATTGGGGGGGGGGGGGGGGGGGAGTGGAATAAAACTTGAGATTAATTGTTTTCAGAGCTCAGCTTTCAGGAAGACATCAAATATGAGATTTTTTAATAGTTGTGATAGTTAGCAACCCTTTGAAGTCTGTTACCTGTGTTAGCAATTTGCTAAACTTTATGGTTTGTAACCTTAATAAGAAAGGCCCTGAGACTGCTACCCATGATAATTTGAATACATATTTTTAAACACGCTAAGACAAACAAAAATAGGCCAATTTACTCTTCGTGGTTCATCTTCCTTTCTTGTTTCTGTGTGCTTACACAGAACTTATTTCTTTAGGCCTTTGGGCTTTAGGCCTTGATCTTAACAGGAGTGGGAGCCCGGCCGTTCTCTGACCAGGAGTGGCCATTGACTCATTAGGGCTGAAGGATTTGACGACATGGGTATGTCCGTCTGCCTGTCCCTGCAGTGTCTGGGTCAGACTGCTGTGATTCTGTGCCCAGTAACTGTCACGGATGCAATGAGAGGAACTTGGCAGGCTGGTTGTTAATGTTTAGACAGTTTTCTTCCTGAAGTGATATATCTGAAGAACATGCACGCTTTTTTTAATTTACATAGACCTACCTTAAAAAAATGTGTATTTTGTGTTGTAGGACCCATTTCCATCAGTAAGGAAATGGTTCATGTCCTCTGCAGCAGAGTTTGGACTGGTTGGATGTGTTCCTGCTCTCCGGGATGGTAGAAGCGAATGGTCTCTTGTGTTTAAGTTAATATTCACTGCAGTACTGTCAGTATGCACGTTTGTCTAATTCTAATCAAACCAGTTCTAATCAAACATCTCCTAGTGTATCACCATGCTGTATTTGAGAGGCAGGAATCAATCAGTTGACTGCTTGTCCTAGGTGTCCTGTGTAAGGTGACACCCAAATTTCAACTTGGGGAACCATTTTTGAGGGTTTTTTCCACTGACAGAGGGAAACTGGTTTTGGAGTAGGGGTGTGGGTTGTCTGCCCTCTTGGCGCATGCTGAGACTTGAGATTCCTGCTTTGCAGAGTCAGGAACACAAGGGAAAACACTGTAAATCAAACCTTTGTCGAGGTTTCTGTTTGAATAAATGGCCCACCTGAATGGGGTGAAAGGCCTTGCGTGGAGGACCTTGGTCTCAGTTCTGGGGTTTGGGGTGGTCTGGAGTCTCTCAGAGAGCAGATGGGCGGCTGTGGTCTGTGAGGAGAGGGAGATGCCCTGTGGCCTCTGCTGCCCTTCGTACCATAATGGGTGCGTTGCCTGTGGGTAGGCTAGCAGCGATTTGGAGAAATCCCTTGCAGGGAAGGAGACTGCAAACATTTTCCCTGGAGATGCTCAAGGCCGGCAATTAGGCTCGTTAAGCCAGATAAACAAGTGAATGAACTATGGCTGTGGAACAGTTTGAACTGATCTGATTCACGGTACCCTGAGCACAAACCAGTTGGCTTCATAAGGCACTGGCAGTTGTGATGTCCCTTTTATTTTTAAACAATCAATAAATCAGAAAATCAAGAAGCTTTATTTAGAGGAATATAGTGAAGGTGTTTTCTGGTTCATCTTCACTGCTGTCTCCTGCCCTCCCTCCCTCTTGTCCATAAAAAGTCAGTTTCAGGAGTCAGTCTTGCCCTTCAGCTTTGCCGTGAACAGCAGACATGGGTTGCTGCAAATCCATTTGTCTCTATTAATATTAATACGCAGATTATTTTTTTTCTCTTCTGGAAAGGATAAGCAGTCTTACATCCTTCACCTTTTGAGGTGGTACATTTATGTGCAAGGCAATGATTTCTGTCTGGGAAAGCTGCAGCTCATGATTACTGAAGAGTATTTGGGAGGAGGCAGCCTGCATCTTCTGGAAACACACTGGGCCCTTTCTCCAGACTTTCTCCATGCGTATTGTTGGCTGTCAGAAAGCAAGGCTGAAATTATCTCTATTCATACATACATAAATATGTATGTGAGGTAATAAATAATAAATACACCTGAGTGCCAGTGTCAGATGATACAAAAATGGTTTAAAAAACAGGTCCAAGTTTCCTATTCCTTAGCATTTTTATTTAAAGATGATCTGTTTCTAACACAAGATCTTAAAGATAAAATAATTTTTTTTTTTTTTGGCAGTCCATGTCTTGATGAAGATCTGTCGGAGGCGTATAGTGGGGCAGGAAACAATAGAAAAGTATTACTTACATGGTGGTTGGGGAAGGGGACAGCAGAAAGCCAAGAGGTCATCCTTAGGGTGCAGAATCACACACCTTGATTTCATAAAAGTGTTTTGGTTTTACTGCCTGCAGTAAAACTAAAAACGCACTCTGTAGTGGAAGCATACTGTTTCAGGGATGACTGAAAGGCGTGATTAGATCATTTAATAACTGATGGAGTTACCAGCTCTGCTTGTATTAATCATTACTTTTAGCAGCAATGGAATTGTCGGAACTTCTTACCAACAGTGGTGATCTGAAGCTTTGTTAAATGTATTCGGGATTATACTATTCATGTCAGTATCGTAGTTCTTTGCATAATATGTTGCATTGTTTTTATTCTGAACTTGAAACTATTGCGTATTATTTTGATGTTTTGGTATTTTAGATTTTGAATTGTTTTCTGTAAGATAGAATTTGCAGAAATTACTGTGTGTCCTGGGCTGATGTTTTGACCTTTTTGTGCTGCAGAGGAGCTTGAGGAGAAAACCTTGAAGTCATTGTAAGAAGAGGAAAGGAAGAAGGACTGTTTAATAACAGTATAATGTAACCTAGATCACCAGTAGGCATTCCTTGTCTTACTCTCTCTAACAAAAGGTCAAAGTTATGCAGAAAGTTGCCTAGAGATAGTATAAAGACTCACAGTTAATGGACTATGTATTTTTGCTGTTTTCCTTGAGTGGTCACTCAGTAGAGTTTTCATAATACAACTTTTTGTTGTCTTTTTATTATTATTTTTTATTTTTAAATGTGATTCTGTAAGCACAGATTTATTAAAAAGAAAACCCAATCAAAACAGTTCTGACTGCAAAGACTCGTGATGAAGTTTATTTGTATTTTGAAGTGCATTTCAAAAGTTGAGAGTGCATGTGCAAATCAGGCACACTGTTATAAACAGGAGGAGATGGCTAATGTGGATTTGCATAGATTAAGCATAGACCAAACCACAGAACAAAGGAAAGAATCAAGGGATTGCAGCTCCTCATTCTTCCTTCTCACTAGGATAGGGTGGACTCAGCTGAGTTCTGTTAGTAACTTCTGTAGGCAAAATATGTGCAGTATTACGTTTGGGACTAAATTCCAGATCCCGAAGGAGCGGATGTTGGTTGGAGTTGATTGCTTTATATTTTTGCCATCTCTGTGTGGTTTGGGGAGTATGGAAGTTATTCTGTCTCTCCCTATTCGTTTATCATGGTGGTGTCTGCCCTTCAAACTAGTCTGTCGCATGGAATGGGTGCCTACCAAGCTCTCTGTAATTTGTTTTTTTTAATTATTATTTTCAGGATCCAACAAACCTGGATAAGTTCAATGTCTCGAACTTCTTTCATGTTAAGAACAACATAAAAGTAATTGATCCAGGTAAGGATGAATTGCAGGTAGGCTGAGAAAACAGCAACCCAACTATGCAAAGTAAAGACGACATTATGGAATTGACACTTTTCTGGACAGCATCACTCAGTGGCTAGTGGTAGCTTTGAAAGCTTCTTGGAAACATGAAAAACTTGTTGAAACTGTCCCTTTCACATCAAAAGGTGTTAACAGATTTTGAAGCAAAGACATGATTCTTTGAGAAATCATTAACTGTCTCTATTGAGTGCTGTGCAAACACAGAAAGCTTTCCATATCCTTTAGGAGTAGGCAGATGAGAGACAAGTGAGAAGAGGAGGAACAATAATTTGCCAAGAGGTCCATTAGCCTTGTACCAGAACCAAGACAGGGAAACTTACATCTTCTCATACCTGTCTGTTAGGCTGTCTTTCGTGTGTATCAGCAACGTATTGCCTGTCCTTCTGTCTGGATAACAATGGACATCTTCCCAGTTATAGATTGATAATAATTTTTTCTAAAATAATCCCCAAATTATTTCAATAATAAAAAATAAAATGCCTCTTTTTTCTTTCTAGGTATCAAAACTTAGAAATTTGCTTCTCAATTCTTTTGTGATTTTTTTGATAGCTAAATGCTTAGCAATACCCGCTAATATTAAATTGCTGAAGGAAAAAAATTCTCTCTTTTGCCCTTCCGGTTTCCTTTAGAACTGTTTCTAATGAGGTCTAATTGCTGATTCTAAGTATGGTGTGTTTTTCTGGGTCTTATTATGCTTATGTATATTTTTTTTAAAGCTACTAGTTGTGCAAGCAAGCATCTCATTTTATTTACTTGCTAAAAATAAGTGGGTATTATCTCAGAGATGGAATATTTAATATCCAGCAAATGGTAGGCATAACAAGACAGAGAACAAGTGAAACTTGTAAAACTAAACTAAAATAAAATAAAATAAAAAAATCTACAGTGCAGTTCACCAGCCTCCTCTCCCTGGTATCACGTTAAGGTTCTGATCTTGGGATTTTTGCGTCACAGGCCTGGCCATTCAGTGAGGAAACAAAGGACAGAAGTTTATATTGTACCCAACTGTATCTTGTCTTTATTGTTCTGTAAAAATTTTATAAGACTTGCATGAAACTAGATAATTTCTAGTGATTTCAAAGAAATTTTTGCTGTAGGTGATTTGTAGTTGTTTTTTGCTGTTGTTATGCTTCATCATATTGGTATTTATAGTGCTATATGTCAAGTTGTACTGTCATTAGTGTTATCCATTGCTATTTGTTACTGTTTCTGCAGGAATAAATATAGTTACTAGACTTTTTTATTTTAAAAAAATGTAGAAAAAAATCTGAAATATTTTTGTGTAACTACATAGGTAATAAACTGAAGAACAGCATAGAAGTTTTCTTTTAACTCTGAATGATTTGGCTTTGTCTTATCTAGATGAAGAAAAAGCAAAATTAGATCCATCGTACTATTTGAAAAATACAAATACAGAGACCCGAGAGACTTTACTGGAGCTTTATAAGGAATTCAAAGGCGATGATATTCTAGCAGCTACTATGAAGGCTCCTGAGAAGAAGAAAGTGGATAAGCTGAATGCAGTAAGTTGACTTAATTTGTAGTTTGGCACTGATTGACTTCTTAAAGAATGGTAATAGATGTTTTTCAACTTAGAGGCCCATATTGCAGTATAAACAGATACTATTCCTTATGTTTTCTGTTACATGGAAATTTGTCATAGATGAGAATATGAGAATCATATTGGGACTCCTTAGAAATACATTGTACTGTGTCAGTGAGTTCATCTTTGTTAAATCATTGTAAATGAACCTAAACATTCTAGAAATGGAGCACAATAAGAAGATGAAATCTTTATGATGTGGTTATGATGTATATTTGGCAGAACCTTTTTTCCCAGGTTGTAATCTCTTGCTTTGAATTTGTTTATCATTGCTTCCTGCAGTTATTGGCAGAGAACACCCCTTAAGGGCAGTGCAAGCAAATAATTTCTGGTGTGGGCAAATATATAAATGATCCACAGCTGCTTCTCCATTTATTTCCACTGGAATGCAGGACTTTTAGTGGAATATTTTAAAGGATGTTCTTCCAGGTGCATGTTACTGTGTGTTCATGGTTGTCAAGAGAAACAATTCATCTGCATGTAGATTTCCTACATCAAAGGCTGTGATAAATGGGCAAGACAGATTAGTTTTCTTTCCTTTAATAATTCTGGGATGTACGTGTCTTCGTGCTTTGATTACACTTACAGAAAAATGAATAGCAAGGCATCATATGGCTTTTAATGAGGAGGCTTAGTGTCAGGTTAGGGAGTGCGTGTGACCAAGGAGTAGGATCACGTTTGCCCCTTTTTCAGGGCATCATACTAAGAAAACAAAAGATGTAGAGAGGGAAAAAGAGTTGAGAGGCAACGATGAGCTCTACATATGTTGGAGAGTCAGATTGTCAGCTCCTCATGTGGATGAGCATAACTATAAACTTGCATAGGATGGAGTGTAACCTTATGGACAGAGCATTGGCCTGACCTGTATTCTTTACAGGCGTTGCCCCAGAGCCCCTAAACTTATCTCTGGATTTATTAGATCTTTGTCATTTACTACAAAATCCATGTGTAACATTCACATTTCATTTCTGCAGAATTGCAAAGCTCAAAATAGACATTGGGAACCATGGGACAGTGCCTCTGCCCACAGAAGGGCCGTGTGGGAGGGGGTGGTTTGCTTTCCTCCACACTATCTCTGTGCTTCATTGGATTTTCCTTCCACTTACTCAGCAGCATTGGAGAATTTTACAGATGTCTTGCCAGCGGTACTTGTTTCATATTTCCACCTGTGGACACACAAATAAATTCTGATGATAGAATCTTTGCATACCAATGTATTAAACTGTTGTGGAAGCAATAAACCGCTTCAGCTGAGCGCATGGGCAGCCTTAACTGGCGTTTCATCAGAGCTGATGTTATGGGTAACAGATGGAGAATTATCGCTGCATCGTGCACTTGTTTCTTTTTATAGGAGCTAGAGCAGAAAGTCTGCCTTCAGAAGGAAGACATTTGTGTGTTTATAGGGCTTATATAGTATCTTTAGTAGATAAATTCTGAGATCTGATGTATTTTTCTCTTGCCTTTCCTCCATGAACAGGCTCATTATTCCACTGGAGCAGTAAGCGCTTCCTTCACCTCCACTGCAATGGTGCCTGAAACTACCCATGAAGCAGGTACCAGAACTGCCTCACTACAAGCTGTTTATTTACTTTCCAGTTTTAGAGCATGCTCCCTAGCACACGTACATATATGGGGACTGAAGAGATGCATTGATAATTGGTCAGTAATGATGCCTTGGAAATGTATTCCCTGGGCAGACATAGCCATACTTTCCAGTGAGCTCATTCTGAAAATAATGGAGTAATTACAAATTAGCTTTGGCTTTGAATGGCAGTTACTTATGTTGAACTGAAGTTAATGAGGTATTTTCTATGCCTGGGAACCACAAAATGGGATATCCACTTACATAAGATAGGAATGAAGTCTAATCTCTCCTCAAATAGCATACAAAATCTTTACCATCTTTTTGGCCTGACCTGGTATTGGTTAGAGTGACAGCAGATTTTGTGCATTTTAGTACAATAAAGTTTTCCTTTTATTCTCCAGCCTAAACACAAATGTATAGAATTTATTTGATTTCAGTATTGATTAAGTAGCTGAGTGATTATTATTCCCAGTTGAAGAGAAAGGTCTGGCTTTTGGCATTAAAATTTAGAAGTATGTCACACACTTATGCAGAGATTGAATACTCTGCTAAAACTGCATTTGCCAAGTTCAATTCCTTTACTCGGTGGATTACAGTGATTTGCCGGTGGATCTATGAGCGTTGAAAATATCTGACTAACTGGACATTTTGACAAAATGGAAGTGGAAACATCCGAGATTGATCCTTTGGTTTGACTTTCCAGTAATGTTTCCAGTAACTTAGCTTCATTTGTTTTCAGAACTGGGTAGGTCCTCGTATGTCAGCAATTTGTGGTTGACTGATGACTACCTGCTTGGCTTCCATGTTCAACAAGAAACAATTTGGTTTCAAAGTAACGTTTGTGATTGGTAGACATTACTTGAGAATTATAGTTTGTAATGTTGAATGCTTCTGTGACTTAAAAATATAGATGATATTGTTGGCTCTCGAGGAGTTGGTGGTTTTCTATAACGGAAGGTGTTTAGTGCTGAGATTAATGTGAGGTTATCATAGATGAATTGCAGAGTATAGTCCCTGAAGACCCGGGGCCCCAGGGGAAGAGGGCACACAGAAGAATCTAGCAATTTGTTTTCTGGTGATTTCTAAAGATCAATGAGTAAGCTTTCAGAGAGCTAATTATTGTCTTTGCTTCCATACAGCTGCTATTGAAGAAGATGTCGTGAGATACAAATATGTGAAGAAGAAGGGCTATGTGCGACTTCACACTAACAAAGGAGACCTAAACTTGGAGCTGCACTGTGATATGGTACTGTGTGCCTCATAAGATGAATCTTTCTAGATAACAAACTGAATAGGAGCTGGTAACGGAAATATCCACAGAAAGGAAAACTGTGTGGTTGTAGTAGATACAGAAAATAACTAGCTTTCAGTTGGTTTGGTGTGTTTTTATACATACACAAAACTCCATTGTAAAATGTACATGTATTATTTTATATATTATACTATTATATGTACAAATACTCTGTGTGAGTAGTCCCACATATTTTATTGGACTACTTACAACATGTCCAGGTGCATGTTTAGAGCTTCACAGGGTCAGGATTATAGTGACCCAAACAACGACAAGGAAGACGGAGAGAAAAAAGAAGGAAGAGCACAGAGAAGAGAGAATAACCCAAGGTCACATAGTAGGTTACCGGCAGAACCAGGAAAAGAACCTCAGTGAACCTGAGGGCAGTCTGTCAGCCTGAGTACGTGTAGTTAAGATCCCCAGAAATGGTTGGATTTGCTTCTAAATCCTATACTTTACAGAACAAACCTAAATGAAAACCTTAGAATATGTTTTTTACTTCTTGCTGTCTTAGTTTTTAAGGTTCAAGTTTTCAAACATCTTCCTTTTGCCATTAAGAGGTAGACATTCATTTTAAAAAACCAACAGACTAGAGGGTGTTTTTTTTTAATAGCAATACAGCCTAATTCTGGGGGAAATCTGTGGCACTTAAAAGAACAAACATAGCAAGACTTAGGACAGACAAATGAGTTGTGGTGACACTGATGTCTCAGACGTCACTGCTTGCCAGTGTGCTTGCTTATTTATTTGTACAACCACATCTATAAAAGGAAAAGAGTTTTCAATGTAAAAAGCCCAAACCTTCTGTTGTTTACTGAGATTTTTATCTCAGGAGATTATAGGCCTGAATGTAGATGGTTTAGGAAGTTGAAGGATGTGAATAGGAGTTAAAATGGTAAAACTTCTGCTTCTTGTGAACCTCACAGAATTTAAGGACAGCGGACTGGAAGAATATATTCTTTTTTGCCTGGGAGAAAGAAAAAGGAGCAAACAGGACAAGCCTGCTAGCTTTCCCTTCTCTTCCTTTCTCTCGCACGAGTAAGGAACAAGACATGCATGAAGATCTCAGGCTGATCTATGGAAACAGTATGGGAATCTCCACAGCAGCGTATCATGCTAATAATTCTGTAGGTCCCTGTCATCCCTACAGGTGTTTTCCATGCTCTGAAATAGTAACACTATGTAATAAGGCAAAAAGCAGAGGATGTTAGTACAGCAATATTTGGGGGAAGCAGCAGAATGAGCAGATTGCATTGAATCATTTGTTTTGCCATATGTTCTCCAAGTGGCTCCTGGCTAGCGCAGGCTGACTGCAGCTATTCTTACCAGCGTGGGTTTTTTGGCCACGTGTGTGACCAGTGTCACCCAGTCCTGAGGACCCAGTCTCGATTGCCCATTATAAACTTCCTGTATGATATGCACTGTGTTTCCTATTTTCCAGATGGATCCCTCTTCACCTCCCTTTCACACGCACCGCTTCCTCATGTACACATTGGAAGTGTGCACTGTTTTACACGACCAGACCAGCTTGAACACTGGCCTCTCGCCATCTGTTTCTTTCATTTCTTTGTGTCGATTAAATCTGTGTGAATTGAGCAGACCTTTGGCACTGCAGCAGGGAAAAAGATATATATTTAGAATAAGTAGGAAAAACTTGCTGCTTTAAGGAGGTTTTCACAACATCCACTTTAGGTCATCATCCTGGCTCTATTAAATCAGTTCTTCCGGGAGGCACTTGTTTTTCTCCCTTTACTATATAAGGAGTTTGTGCTTCTAACTTTGGTTTTCCTGAATTACACTGAGGTTAGGCACATAAGGTAACTCAGTGCAGGCGAGAGCAAACATCTTGCAAACATATACCAACTATGTAGGTCACAAACATATACATAGATCAGCGACAATGGATCTATTGAGATTGCAAAGACAGACATAGAAAATGGGGAAATGCCAAAATCAAGCCTTTCTAAACACATCCAGTTCACCCTTCTTGGGAATATGCATGGTAATAGTCTTAATTAATTTTATGCAGAGTTTTTTATCAGCTCTTCTGGCTTATTCTGTGCACAGGCTGAACCAGTTCTGGGAGCTGTTCGGAACTGTGTAGTGAAATGGTTTATGTGCAGGATTTGGTTTTCCTGAAAAAGTGTAGAAGGTGGGTAAGGCCCTTGAATGCAGTCAGGGGGAACTGGACTGTATTGTAATGCTCGCCCAAATTACTGTTTCACAGGCATTTTGCTGCCTGACTTTTCAGCCTTCATGATTTTTTAATGTGGTTGGCATGGGTAGTACCCTGGCTTTTCAGAAAGAAATAGAGAAACAAATTTCAGCCCAAAGCACTATTGATACACACTGAGATCACCAGCAGATTTGGGACCCCTGGGTTCAGCACACAGATCTGCGCGACTTAAATGAATGAGAGAGCTGCTAGACGTATTGCGTTGCCATTGCTGTTTGAATTCGGGTGAAATGTGTGTGATTTGGGGAATTCATAATCTACTTCTGAAAGAAGGTTGTGGCGAGATGGGGGTCAGTCTCTTTTCCCAAACAACAGGCAATTGAACAAGAGGAAACAGCCTCACGTTGTGCCGGGGGAGGTTTATATTGGATATTAGGAAAATTTCTTCACCGAAAGGGTTGTCAAGCACTGGAACAGGCTGCCCAGGGAAGTGGTGTAATCACAGTCCCTGGAGGTACTTAAAAGATAGGTAGACATGGTGCTGAGAGACATGGTTTAGTGGTAACTTGGCAGTGTTAGGTTAGTGGTTGGACTTGATGATCTTAAAGGTCTCGTCCAACCAAAACAATTCTATGATTCTACTCTCTCAAGCAGTGCAACTGCAGGAGCAAGTATTTGGTTTATAAGCCATACTACAGTAGTGCTTAGCTTCTCTTTTTAAAGAGTGAACGCTGCCTGCCTGGTTGTTGTCTTGACCTGACCAGAGGCTCCTTTTTTTAATTGCTGAGCGGTATCTTGCGCTCTGGTTATGGTGGAAGCCACCCTAGCAGTGGTTGTATTTGCACAGTACTGCAAAAACACGATTGCGAAATGCTTTAGGAAGCCTGAGGATGAAGTTGCTATATAAATATGACAAATGAATACCTGTGTCCGGGGGCAGGACTTGCAACATTCAAATTACATTTTAAAATCGTCTTACGGGTTAGATTTCAATATACGCTTTCAGGTGAATTCTTCATGCTGAAATAGAGAACAGCAAGTGACACACTTGCTGTCTTAAGAGCGTATGTCTACTGAGCCTTCAGTTGTGTTTTCAGGCCTGTGGGTTGTATTTAAGCAAAATATTCTTGCAGTTGTGCTCTGAGCAGCCTGCACTGCTTCTGAAGCCTACCCGCTATCTCTTTGGCTTCAGTACCCCCCTTGGGTTCTTACTCCTCTCCCTTCACAGCTCTTCTGTCTCCTGTTCTTACTTTCCCCTGTTTTTTGTGAGCTATCTGACAGTTTGGATTGTTTGGAGTTCAGTCTATATGTATGCATGGAAACTTTTGTTTAAAAATAAATCTGGGGATCTTCATATACTAGTACTTTAAGGTGCAAATCAATAAGACTGATGGTGATGAGATTCTTCCTAGCACCAAAAACCTAATCAAGAAATGGTTTGTATTGATCCAGGGGAGGAAATCAGTGCTGCAGTGTGATTGAAGTCATCAGTTACTTTGTGACAGGATTCAGAAAGAGAGCATGAAATAGGGCTAGAATCCAGATATTTCCTGTGTTTGAGATCACTTGTTCAGAGCACCACAGAACTTCACTTAGGTTCCAGAAAGATGATGTGTGGTGTAAGTCATTGACCTGAGAAAAGGCAGTAAAAAGACTTTGGAAGATAAGCTGGATTTTTTTCTACTCTTTTGAATTTGTGCCTCAAATGAGCAAAGGTACACTACTGTTCTCTCTTTGCATCGTAGCGGTGCGCCTACTGCTCTTCGTTGCCATTTATTTTTCTGCCAGTATTCTTATTCAGACACAGCATGTTCCTCCTGATGGGGACTAATCAGATGGCCGTTTGTTGGGGACATTTTCCAGGAAGCTGAGTTCAGCTGGGCATAAGCAACATTTGTTGTATATACTAATTGGAAACAAATTTACAAAAATTCTACTTGCCAGAAGTAATTCTGGCGAGTACAGAAGATTTAACAACATCCAACAAGTGTTATTCTTTCAGTTCTACTCTAATGCATTGCCAAACAAATAAATTATGAAAAAATAACTGATGAAAGTCAATGAATGTCACTGGATTTCTTGTATTTTATTTACTGTGATTTTTCTAGTTTCCTCAAGTTCTTTCAGCTGCTTTAATCAGGATGCTGCTGGGAACAACTGTCTGTGTCATCTGTGTGTATTCTGCTGTATTAGTGACTGTAGCGGTAAAGTTATACCTTGTAGGTGGTGGAGCAGCCTCTTAAGGCAGGGTGGAGGCTTTACCCTGTGCAACAAGTTAAATTGACTTGGATGTGGAGGTCGAAAAGCAGTCTGGTGTAATGGATAGAGTGGAGAACGAGGAGCTGGTAAACCCTAAGTTCTGTGCCTTTGCCATGGACTTGCTGTATGATGTGGCTATGTCATTTGGTTATGGATGGTTTTATAAATCAGTGGCATCCCATTTTTTGTTTCGCAATGAGCAATAAATACGGGCGTAATTTTGAATTCCCAGGCAGTAACATGTGTCATAGATGCCTGATTGCTGGAGTGCATCTGTGCAAATAACCTAGGCTGCCTGTTGGAATCAGCAGCCCTGAGTAAGACTAGACAGAGTTGCGTATTCTTCTTCTCTACACCTGTAAAAGGGAATAAAAATTCCTGCTTTTGCCTCTAGGTTGCTTTGAGGCTTTCGTATTTAGTGCTTGCACTTTTTTATTTTCGTTGTGCCATGGAAATATATGTAAAAATTTAACGCTCCAAAAGACCCTGTCAAAATGATGAACAGGGGGTTTGGTGTGCT